GAGTAGATTATATCTCCCGAAATCAAGTCAACAGGCCACTGTCTCACACTCGGATCAGCACCCCTGCTTTGGAGAAAGGACAGAGCATTGTGCTCCGTCCTGTCTTGAAAGATCTGTAACGAGCACGGGACTTATTATCACAGCATGTCTTCTGGCCTTTTCCTCAATTGAGATACGCATCCTGAAAAAAACAACAAAGGAAAAGTCACTATTGATCTCAAATGTGACATTACTTATGGAAAATGGTGACATCCCTACAATGATGACATAGCATTTGTTTTTAGAAGTGACTTTTCCAAGGTAGCAAGTCACACTACGCCCTTGACCACAAGCATGAGAAACTTGTATCACATTTAATTTCACTCTCACTCTTTCCAGAAAACCTCTTAGCTGATTTTATAATCAGCTCAAATAACATTTATCTTCTCATATAGTGGGAGGCATATTCAAAATAGAGTAGCTTTAGTTTATGTTTGTGGCCAAATTACAAATGTATTAGCCTTGCAACTTATTATCCCGGTGGGTGAGTTGTGGGCCCTGTATGAATTGCTGAGAGCTGAGTCATCTGCCAGCGTCTTGCTCATGAGGCATGGTCACTGAGTTTCCACTGGAATCATCCTTTTTCTAAGTATTTTCAGCTGCCTCTGCCTGATTGTTGCTGTTTACTTTGTATACATAGTCAATTGTCACTTGGGTAATACATTTGGACTCCAACATCATTGCCAGAAATACAAACTATGAACTGCAGGAACATTTTTATGTAGATAAAAAGATGACACTCCAGATTCTTGATATGGTAGGATTGCAATCTAGTTGGGAAGACAGAATATATGCATAAGAAATGAAATTAAATGTTAGCGTGTATGTAATAGACACTGGTATAGCTTTGAGGAGCCCTGGTGCTGTAGTGGTTACTGGTTGGGCCGTTAACCATGCGGTCAGCATCTGGAACCACCAGCTGCTCTGTGGGAGAAGGATGGGCTTTCTACTCCTGTAAAGAGTCTTAGAAGCCTGCACGGGCACTTCTACTCTGTGCTACAGGGTTGCTGTGAGTGGTAATTGACTCAATGGCAGTGAGTTGGTTTTTTAAGGTGGTATAGATATGGACTTCATTTTTTCCCACAATGCTTGGGAATCAAATTTAGGAAGAAATATGAATATTCTTATTCTAGTCCATATTAGGAAAATGAGGCTCATAGAATTTAACTTACCCAGTTACTGTACTACCTCTTCATTTGGGTGAAAGACACACCTTTGCCATCTGTGGGTTACGCACTGGACTGCTAAATGTGAATCTGTCAGCCAGTCTGCTGGAGGAGGGGCAACTGAGGGCCCCTGTACAGGTTTGCAGAGTTGTTGACACCCTGTGTAAGTGCTCTGTGAGCCAGGACTCACTGGATGGCAATGGGTTTGTTTTGTGGGGTGATGCAAATGTGTACATGTATGCTTAAAATATTTGTCAATATCTGGTTGGAGAAATTCTAATTCATTAACTGACCATATATGATATATAGGCTGTCCCCTTCCTAAATTAGCCTTTAAGTTGAATTTGTATACTAAGCCAGAGCAATTAGATATCTCATTGTCGTCATCAAGTGGATTCTACTCAGAAAAACCCTATAAGGACAGAGTGAAAACGCCCCTGTGGGTTTCCAAGGCTCTAACTCTTGATGGGAGTAGAAAGCCTCATCTTTTTCTTGAAGAGCAGCTGGTGGTTTCAAACTATAGACGTTACCAGTCCAATGAGTAATCCACCATGGCAGCAGGGCTTCCGTTATAGTTAGATATGGTTCATATCTATGTCAGTAAGTCAAACGTTTGTCCTGATATATATTATATATTGTACTTTTCTATATATTAAAAAATTAGATATTTCCAGATACATGGAATGTATTTTTAACAAACATAACAATACAGTAATATAATAGTAATGTTTTGATGCATATTGTAAAGCAGTACTTGTTTGTTATTATGAACCATTGTATATGCCTCAAAATTTTAATATAATTGGTTTTACTGGTGGCAGTGAGCGTGGAGAGGAGGGTTGGTTCATAACTGTAGGTTGTATGTAGGTAAATTGGATGTTTGTAAGACAATGAGTGCCTGTGCTGTTTTATACAGTCCACCTATTTTTTTTTTCATAAACTTAGGCTTATTTTTATTTGAGAGGATAGTTGGCTGCCAGGTGCAGAAATAAACTTAACTTATAGGAGTGAGAAAGCAGAGGCATGCAAAAATCGGTGTGTATCTTAAATGAGATCTAGTTAAAGACTTTCTTAAATCTAAAAGCTTTTTCCTTTTGTCTAGCCATTGGCCCTGGGAAACAGGCAGTTTCACATTCAGTGTGGTGCCTTGCATACAGTGCTTGAAGTTCCCCAGTTCTTGGCAAAAACATTTTAGGGGGTCAGGTCTTAAAGGCTTGAAGATAATCAAGTGGCCATCTAGATGAGAAGCAGCAAAGCCCACATGGAAGAAGCACATCAGCCTGTATGATCATGAGGTGTCAGTGGGATCAAGTATCAGGCATCAAAGACCCAAAACAAAACAAACAAAAAGCATATCAGTGGGAATGAAGAGGAGAGCAGAGTGGAGACCAAAAGCCCATCAGTAGTCAATTGGACACCCCCCTGTCAAAATGGCCACAAGGAAGTGAAGAGCCAGTCAGGGTACTGTATAGCACCAATGAAACACATAACCTTCCTCTAGTTCTTTAATGCTCCTTACCCGCCACCAGGACCCCAGTTCTAGCTTACCAATCTGACTAGACTGGTACAGATAAGAGCTCAAAACACAGGGAATCCAGAGCAGATAAACCCCTCAGGACCAAAAAGGGGAGCAGTGATACTAGGAGGGTAAGGGTAGGGGTGGGGAATAAGGGGGAACCGGTCACAATGATCAACATATGGCCCCCATCCTAGGGGGATGGACAGCAGAAAAGTGGGTGAAATGAGACAGCAGTCGGTGTAAAACATGAAAAAAAGGATAAATTATCAAGGGGGCATGGGGAGGGGAGAGGACGGAGGGAGAAAAAGGAGGAGCTGATGCCAGGGGCTCAAGTAGAAAGAAAATGTTTTGAAAAAGATGACAACATATGTAAAGATGTGTTTGACAAAATGTATATAGGTATGGATTGTGATAAGAGCTATAAGAGCCCCCAATAAAATAAAATAAAATTTTAAATACATTTTAGGGGAAGATGAACTAAGAAGATGCTGCTACAGATCCTAATAATGTATCAGCAAGAGGAACCCCTAGAGCTGCAAAGCCATAAAGAGTTAGGGCTCAGCAGACAAGATCTGTGTGGCAAAATAATACAAACAATGGACAATTTTTGTGAATTGCTGAAGCCCCCACATGGTCCTGTTTATGTCCCCTTTGAGACTGTATACCTTCCTTGGGCCAGTAGTCTTGTAGAATGCAACCCAAGAATTAATTCATTATCGAACATTTATTAACCCCCTACCACCCTCTAATGTGTAAGCACGGTGCTCAATGAAGGATACACAGTAGTACATGAGTTAGTCTCCATCCTCTTGGAAGTCTCAGTGTGTCGGCAGAGGGGCATTATTGAAATGGTTCAATGAAATGGAAGCCATATCCCCGGAGAGATTTGTGATCCCAGCAGAGAGCGCTGCAGGAGGTGATGGCTAAGTCATGTCTTGAAGAGCAAGCAGCAGGTATAGACAAAAGGATAGGGTGTAAGCTACAGCACAAAGGGAGGCCAGGAGCTTTAAACAGAATGTTGTGTGTGGTTTGCAATTGCAAGAATATGGTCATGAGGGACAGATGACAGGTGAGAGTGAAGAGGTAACCAGATGTAAAAGAACAAACTCCTAATGGTGAGCCCTTGTAGGCTTTGAAGCACGTGGGTCACACATGTCCGTTAGCAGATCGTTCTAGTCACTGAATGGAGATGCACATGTTTATGTAGATAAGACTAGAGATTTTGATCTAGTTGAAAATGCTCTATGGAAATATGAAAAAGAGAGCTTAGGGTAGTAACTAGAGTTGTGGTGATAGGGAGGGAGGGGCTGTGTAGGATTTAAGCAACATTGAGGAAACGTGATTTGGAAGACCTGGTACGTATGGAATGTGGCGGGATTGATCAGGATTTCTTAGGGCTTGAGTGACTGTGACTGTGCGCGTGTTGGTAACAGCTGAAATGGGGAAGGAATCCGGACTGGCTGAGCCTGTTGGGAATGTGCTCAGTTAAGCGTAAAGTGAATGTGGTTTTTTTAGGAACATTTGATCAGCACATTCATATTTCAGTCTGGAGCTAGGAAAAAGAAGAGTGGCCACAAATTTGGAATCTCTCAGACTTTATCTGTTGCCATCAAGTGGCTTCCAACTCATAGCCGCGCTTTGCATTCCGTAGTAGAGCCGCTGCCCAAGGGGTTCCTGTCTGTCATCTTTAGGAAAGCAGCCACCAGGCCTATCTACTATCGCGCTGCGGGGGGAGTTCCCTCCACCAGCGTTGAGGCTGGTGGATGAGCACAAACCAGTGTGTCTCCCAGGGATCTTTGTCAGCCTATACCAGA